TAGAGGCAAATTCTACTCTTAGCAGTTTTAAGCGGAAGTTGCCACTGAAAAACAAATGAAGTCTGTTTATTGAGAGCTTAGACCTTACAATGTTGCACTCTGAAGCCACATATGCTCCAAAGGTATTCAAGGCCGAATGAAAGATGCAATGCTGTGGCTCTTAATCTCTTGTGACATGGATACTCCAAAATGCCTAAAGCTCCTTTTAGGCCTGTGCATTTTTCAGTTTAGAGTGGTGCAGCTGCGTGTGATCTGATGCCATACTGTACATGGATATGAAATGATCTCATAAAAGGAAAATAATCGTGTCTTCATTTTAATCTGTTTGTCTGTATGCTTTAGCCATCTTTACACATGCAAAGGCTGCAGCTGTGCATGTTCAGTGACGTTCAGAGAAACAAAAGATAAACTAAACTAAAATTTCTCTTTGCCCACTTATTTTTCATTTATTTTGTCTTCAGTGATCTTTTATGATGCTCGGGTCCATGTGATTTCCTGGCTTAGGCAAAGCTGTAAGGAAATGTGTCGTCTTATTATCTCCTATCAAATCCTATCGGATCAGTTCTAGTCCAGCAGCCAGAGAAATCCATTCTGGCTTCTGCCCCACATAACTTATATAAGATTCTATATAGAATATGTCATGTTTATGTAACTATGATTGACACAATACTGTAGTCAGATGATGCATACCATATATAATATGCCTCTGTTCATCTCAGTGATTTAGATGTATATTCAATATGTGTGTCTGAATACATGTAACATACTTCAATCCCAAGAAGGCTTGTGGCCACAGCAAATAATTATCTTTATAGCAGATTTCATAGAATTGAATGCAGTTGAGGAGGGGCTCCAGTGTTGAGCACTAGAGTGGAGGAGGTGTGACCCCCAATCTGAACTGGCTGGGGTCTGTTTGGGTGGAAGTCCAGTATACAGATGCAGAGTGCTGAGTTTGAGTTTCAGAGGGAAATTGTGTTGTGCTGATACTTGATTAGAACAAGTTTGTGTTGTCCAGCTACAATCAGAAATCCAAACTGTTCATAGTTATGTAATAGTTGTTCCTATAAGCTATACTGGAAGGTGAAGTACAATTTGGCCATCACAGGGAGACGGGAGATGCTTGCAGAGGCTCATTTACATACAGTCTCTCCTGGAAGGCATTCTGTTGCACTCAGTGACAGAAAAGTTTGTATCAGGAATTAAAAAGAGAGCTTGACTGTTCAAGCCCTGCCCATCCCCTCCAGACGGCTGGCCAGAGCCAAGAACATCCCGTAGTCTCAATCCATTGGCAGCTATACGTTCTAAACCATTCAGTAAGTATGCAGGAGAACCTGAACCGGGATTGTGACCTCAAAATAAGATGGTCATGATCTACTGTACCAGAAAAAGTACCAGAAAATATCATTTTCTCGCATTCAAGTCTATCTTTAATTATTTCATCATGTTTCTCAGCATATGAGGATCAAAAGACTACAGTATTGCAAGATTCTGTCTAAACAGCAGTCATAGTATGCGACCCCCACACTTAACCTAATCCAATTCACACAAATAGTCTGAAATTCATAATAAATCGATCGTTATGTAGTGTGTGTGCTGTGTACATAGTAAAACTGTCTCTTCTGAAATGTGGTAAACTGAATTATTCTCTTACCATAGGCTTTGGAGGATGTGTGAACTTTCATTCCAAAGACTTACAATGTGTTAACTTGAGAGCAGGGATTAACATCTTGTTATTGCCACAAACTCTGGAGACAGCCTATCACCATTCACATGCACGTCATAAGCAGTGTTTACCAGACTGTAGCCAAGTATTCTGACTTCCAATATGCCGCTGATATTCAATAAGACTCTTGTCAGCTGTTGGCACAAACCACTGGGTGATTTAAGGACACAGAGCACTTTTTGAAGCTTTGAGATGTGTAGCAGGGTTTATTCACAACCATTTCAAAGCAGTTCATCAAACTCCATTTGTTATTTTTGTGCCTTTAAGCCTGTAGAGCAAGGGGAGATTTAATCCTGTGTAATTGCAGCAGCGAATGTCCCCCTCACCCCTTGATCACCTTTAAGTACAAGACCATGCCAAGGTGGTAATTACCTACTGTATCACCAGCTGCTTGTTCAACAGTATTTGGGGCACTTTAGCAGAGAGTCTTGGCCTGATTTGTCAGTTTTCAGAGTCATGTTGAAGTGCGGCTTAGCCTCTGGTGCTGAGCATGAAGGCACGCTACTGAGGTAACAGAGATGTCAGGCCTATCTGGCCTCATTTACTGTGGGGTTGTAAACACTGTTTGCACAGAGGCTCAAACGGTTTATATTTTTAGCTCATTCTCACACTGAAGAACCACAGTGCTCATGGGAAACATCTTTGAAATGCCAACTTTTGTGTTGTCTCTGGGCTCCAGCACAGTTCAGATTAGAAGGCATTCACTGCAGACTCTCAGTCTTGTGGAGTCATCTGTGTTTCTCACAGTGTGCAGAGCTCAGCAGGCCACCGCCAGTCTGGTCAGTAGCAGCAGGAGCAGCTGCTCATCATCCTCTCTGTGACCTCTCTCTTAACAAGAAAGCACAGATCAGATTCTCCAAAAACAGAAACAAGGGCAAATGGAAAAACTTCAGCTGGTGTACTGAATTTAACGAGGAATAGTTTTTTATAGAACTGTATTGACTGATAACTGTGGTTTTTCTTATGTGTCAAATGTAATGTTTTCATTCACTACTACTAATTAACCGACTGTTATCTTTTACTTCACCAGCCTGTGCATCACTGGTGGCCTCTGCAGGGACTACAGATGCAAATGAGCTTTTGGCTATATCTGGTGAAATAAATGTATTCTCCTATTAAATAAACAAAAACTAATAATGTTGAATGAACTCAAAATCAAAAGTCAGAGTTTAAAAAAAAGAATGTACTGTACAAGCTCAAGCAAAAACTTCCCACATTTAAAATCAGTAGAGCAGTTTATGCAGTATGTACATATAGTATACACCAATCAGCCATTACATTATGATCACCTGGGCCCCCATAATGGTGGTCATAATGTTATGGCTGCCCCATACCAACAAACTGTGATGCACTGTGTGTTCTGACACCTTTCTATCAGAACCAGCATTAACTGTTTCAGCAGTTTGAGCTACAGTAGCTCGTCTGTTGGATCGGACCACACGGGCCAGCCTTCGCTCCTGATGACCCTGTCTCCGCTTCATGGCTTTTCCTTCCTTGGACCCCTTTAGATAGGTACTGACCACTGCAGACCGGGAACACCCCACAAGAGCTGCAGTTTTGGAGATGCTCTGACCCAGTCTTCTAGCCATCACAATGTGGCCCTTGTCAAAGTCGCTCACGCTGCCCATTCTTCCTGCTTCTAACACATCAACTTGAGAACAAAATGTTTACTTGCTGCTTAATATATCCCACTGACAGGTGCCATGATAACCAGATAATGAGTGTTATTCACTTCACCATCAGTGCTCAGAATGTTGTGGCTGATTGGTGTATAGTGCCCCTTCTTCCATGCTTTGGGTCTTTATATTCACAGGCCTACATAAAGGACACAAAGGATCAGGACTGGACATTGCTCTCGTCCACTGCACCGATTTAGCATTGCACTGCTGTAATACTGTCGTTTTTTTTAATTCATAAACTTGGATTCTCCTGCCCATTAGAGTATTAAAACTCTATTAATACATCGATGCTTAAGCCCCAACTAATGTTGCATGTGGTTACGTCACTTGAGGCAGTTCATCAGACTTCACACAGCTCCCTCTGGAGCCACAAAAGGCTTCATACAACTGTTTCACATAAGCAGCAGTACTCCCTAGGAGCTGAAAAACAGACTTTGATGTGTGAATTCAAGTTTCCTCTTAACCCTTGTATTATGTTAGTTAGTTCATTAGCCTTTATTATCATTGAGAACACTGTCTTTTTCAAAATTAAACAAATAAACACAAATTCACACACACAGCTTTCATGGAAAATAGACAGTATTTCTATATTATAGTATATAGTAACAAGTGGCAGTTCCTAAATTGGATAAAGAGTGAATTTAAAGGGACACCCACTGTTTCTACACAGATGTTTTACAAGGAGTAGTGCATAATTAAATTGTCCAAAGTTTAAAAAGGGTTATTTGGATGGATTGTGCTTCAGACTAACTGATCTCGCTATTGTGTTGCATTATGGGGGATTCAGCAAGAGGGTTTAAATGGAAGGATATCTCACTCTCAGCCTCTGTTTCAGGGTCAGATCTGCTGTCAAATGTATCACATTTATTTTGATTAAAAATAACATATTAAAAATGTAAATTAACACATGTAATGTAATGATCTGTTATGGATACATTAGTCTTCCTGATAGGTTAGGTTCAATGAAAAAAAAAAAATATTTGGAAAAATGTCTGAAGATTTGGAAATAAAACAATTTATTGATTTTTAATGCCACCTTTAGCTATTTCTATTATTGCTTTACTAATGGGTCACAATGATGTTATATTCAAATATCTTCATTTGGGGGGCATTTAAAGGCAAATATTGATACATGTGATGGTTTTTGTTACATTTAGCATATATTTAACCTTAAAGTGTCACTCTCTTGCCACTCCATGAATATTTCTCTAGATCCGCCCCTGCTCTGCTGCTTCCTTCAACTTAAAATACACTGAATTTACTAAACATTGCTGGAATATCTCTTTAATTGAATTATTACGCTACTGAGCAATTTTCTTTAGTTGTGAAATTGTGACACAGAGCAGATATTATTAAGGTCTAATTAAAGTGGTAACCAGGCTGGTAATCGCCCTGCAGATGATAGGCTGTTTGTGGGCGATGGATGGAGGGGAGGCATGGTATTGACAGAGAGACAGAGAGTAGGGGGGGGAGCATCATAAGAACATCCCACACTTGATGCAAACGAGAGTCAAATCCTTTGACAACGTGACATCCTATAGGCTGGACGCTCGTGGGGCACCGCGTGTGAAAGGGGGGGAGTGTGTAATGATGGGAAAGTGACACTTTGACACACAGCTGAGCTCAGTGTGGGGGTGCTGTCGGTATCGGTGGAGATGTTCGGTAACTGTGGAGCTGCATAGGACCCGTACCTCGCCAGGTGTGTGTGTGTGTGTATGTGTGTGTGTGTGTGTGTGTGCATCTGCTCCACCTCGCACCCATGAACTTTTCTGTCCTCCGCGCGCCGCTGCACCCTCCCTCTCACGGACAATGAAGACGAGTCGCAGATGCCGGACCCTTCTGTCGGTTACCTTGAACTTCTTCGCCCTGTTTTTCTCAATAACCGCGTTTATAACGACTTACTGGTGCGTGGGGACCCAGAGAGTCCCCAAGCCAAAGTGCAGCAAGCTGCGGACACACCAGTGTATAGACTACGGAGTGAACGAGACGGACCCGAACAAAGTGGTGTACAGCTGGGAGACCGGGGACGACAGGTTCCTGTTCCGACAGTTCCACACCGGCATCTGGTTCTCCTGCGAGGAAAACATCGATGATGAAAGTAGGTGGAGAAGGTCTGTGTGTGCTGCAGTGGTGTAACTGAGTACGTTCACACTGGCACTGTACTCTGTGTATATTTGAGGTAGGCTACTTGTACTTTACTTGAGTATTAACATTTTATACAACTTTATAGGTACTACTCGCCTACATCTCAGAGGGAGATAGTGTAGTCTACTTTTTACTCCACTACAATTATCTGACAGCTTTAGTTGCTTTTCAGATTGTAGGTTTATTAAATCCTTGTTTGATTGTGTTTTTGTGAATGCTTATTGTTCCCGGGTCTCTCTTAGAAAATACATCTTAATCTCAGTGAGACTTAAATAAAGATGAATGGATTACAATTTTTCATACTCTTTAGTAAAAAAAAAAAATGTATTTACAAAATTTGGTGATTTTACATTTGAATGTTTCTGATAACATGAAGGATTAAATGATCCTACTTCTTAAGCTAAATACACTATTTAAAACACAGAGCTGAAAACATGGCCTTTTTTCTGATCCTCTCAGGACAGTGACAAACGTATGATAATAGAATAGAATATGATGCATTGCTGTAGATTAAACTACGCAGCAGTATATAAAGTAGTTCAAATTATTAAATCAGTAAATCAGTGCACCATCATGCATTAATGATAATAATCCGAAAAACATCATATATAGTAAAACAGTGACTGGGACCGTTTTACTGTACAATGAGTACTTTTACTTAGTATACTTAAAGTGAAGTAAATGTTGCTGATAATACTTTGACAGATACTTTATTGAAATGTGAATACTTCTTCCACCACCGCTGTGTTGTGTGTGGATGACCGAGCTATAGCGTAACTATGCTCATACTGATACCGTTAGTTCAAAGATGCTGAGATGTTTAACTTTAAGGTGACGGTTGTTGGAGGGACTCTGGAGGGACTGATCAATGAAATTGTTTTGGTGGGGAAATGATGAAAAAGTTTTTTCTCCTTTTTTCAAATTCTCTTAATACCTTATTGATTCCACTGATTTGAGAATCTATTTAAAATCCTAAATTAATTTGCGGCCATTACTATTTGATTAGAATCTAAATTTATTTTTTTTCATAATTCACACCTTCCATTTCACTATCTTTTGATTCTTACAGAACACATCATCTTTGTTACAGTTTACTTTGACAGCAGGCTGTCGTCTAAGCCTATAACCCCTCACAATTGAAAACATAATATACAATGTTCACCTCTGAAAATCTTCCATTTTACCTCCCTCATTTGTCACAATGGAACACAAATGGAGATTAGTCGCTCTTATGGAGTTGTTTCGTTTCATGACAATTTCAGGATAATCGCCCACCATTAATATCAGTATACTTATCATATTGCAGGGATTGGGTAAAATAGCTTTATTTGGTTTTATCTGGCATCAAACACAGAGCCAACAGCAGTACATGGGTGCTTCAGTGTGAACCTGGGAGAGAACGAGGGCACTCACTCAAGATTCAGTACTGTACTCGAACCAGGGTTTTAAGTGTGTGGCTGTGCAGCACTTGATAGGGGCAGAATGAGATTGCTTGACAGCTTAAGCCAAAGGTAAGAGAAAACAGTGAATGATGTGCGCACAAGCTTCATTTCTTCCCTCTGGGAAATGGAAAAAGGAATTGGATCACATTGGAGTACAGTCACTTAATAACGAGGGGCTTAAGGGGGAAGATTGGTCAAAAAGGGGATGTGCGTCAGAAGGGGGGGCCACGGTCATGAACAGTTTAGGTCAAAGGTGCGATCAGGCCAGATTAGTCCCCTCGGGTTAGTTCGCTGCAATCTAATTTAGTAACTGTTCCAGCATCCATCTCAAAACTCAGTAAAACAACTCTGACATCAACTATGACTGTGCTAACTGTGCTAATAATGCAAATAGTTTTTATGATGCTCAATACATGAACCACACATTGAGATTATTCAGGAAGGAATTGCTAGCACATGGCTAACTCATCAAGTGGCTGTAGGATGGGAGGGAGGGTGGGGGGGGGCTGAGACAGCTTGAGTTAATAAGGATTATGTAACAGGGGCCTTGATGAGTTTTTCCTCAAAACAGCTGTTGCCACCCTTCTTCTACCTGATTAAAGTGTTCCACTTACAACAAATCCAGCGACGCGCTCTGCTCGACAGATGACAGAGGGAACACATCACATCTGCAGGAAAGTGTCAAGGGTCAAGGGTCATTGTTGATACCCTGTTCTTTAAACTGACCACAGGCTCCCGTCACGTCTCACAGGGTGTTTCAGGTTTGAGCAGCTTGAGTGTTATTTTTCAGAATTATATCTCTATTCTATTCTATTATATTGTAATTCTGTGTAAAGTACCTGTAATTCAACTGGACAAGAACCAGATGTTGAGCGGCTTTGCCAACACACCAGCTGGTGACACTGAACCAGGAGCCCAAAAAAGCTGTATTTCTGACACATCTGCCTCCTATTTAGCATCCTGTTTATTCATTTTTGAACTAATGAACTCTGAATTTGGTGTCGCTGTGTGGTCATTGGGCACAAGGTCATACTCTTGTCTGAGCCGATCCTGTGTAACACACCTGGACAGAAATTGGGAATTAAACACAGATTAGGACTTGGACCGAGGGCTGTATCAGTGCAGTACTAAGAGCACTTATTTATTCAGTTTTGTTTGTTAATCCTAAACCAGTCCCCTCTGACCTCAACACAGTTGAATTCAACACAAAGTATTAGCTGAAGATGCTACTGCTACAGTGCTGTGTCTCAGTCGTGACGATATGCTGTTTTCCTGCTGTAGGTGAGAGATGCCGAAGCTTCATCGATTTGGCCCCACCATCAGAGAAAGGTAAGAGCCCACTGGTCATCAGTTAGAAATAAGACTTCTCCTTCAGTAAGATAATCTATAGTTAAATATTCACAGGAAACATGAAATGATTATTTTCATTTATTGCAGACCACTTTCTAAATGTAATTATGTCAAACCCATTGTGCTTCAGGCCTGTTCTGAAACATCAGTAAGAAGGGAGACTGCGGTACTGTAAATCAGGTTTATTGTATTATCGAGGCATCCCACAGACATGGCTATGAGCAAAGCAGTGTAATGGCTATAGGACGCACATCCACTTCTTTCCAAACAAATTCATCATGTTTGTGAAATTTCCCTATAAATCTTTAAGGTGATCATTTAGACAATGGCGGTGCAGTACAGACTTCAAAGGCAGAACTGGAACTGTAGACCTAATAGTGAAGTTAAATATACATGTTCTTAATAACAGTACCTCTGTATTGTAAGTATTATATCAAACATTAACAGTAATTATCCACTGAGCTATGGAGCCTTCTGTAACATCCCATTTCCCAGATTTAACAAGCACGTAACTTTCATTTTGTGCATTGTCCTTTTGAAACCATTCGGGACACAGGTGCAGCCACACACGTTTGGTGTTTTTGCTCTTGGGATTTTCAGCTGTGTTGACAGTCATTTGAGAAAATGATACTTCCTCTATAAAGTGACTGAACAGCAAGAAAGACTTGAGAGAGATGCAATTACACTTGGCTTGATTCACTGGAAAGCTGAATAAGATTTGGAGTAGACTGCTCTGACATCAGTTGAAATTCAGCATCTTGGATATCGGTTAACATCAGCCTCTATTAGCTGCCTGAGGAACGTCTGAGACTGAATCTAAATCGTCCACTTGTCCATAACATGTTAGTGTGTGTGTTTTAAGACTGATATTAAAAGAAAGATTAACGGTTTAATGTAGAATTCCCCCATTCAACATTCAACAATAGCCATTCTTTATAAGTAAACTGCAGCACATTTAAAGGGACAAGAAATAACTGCACTCTGTACATAGGCTGACTATGTAGTTATTGTAGTATACTGTGAATATACTGTTATATCACACTGTCAGTAATATCACATTTATATTTGAAATGTTAAAGATCCCCTCCAGACATTTATTAAGACAGATACAGATTTTGCCCATTCTGAAGTTTTCCTGATGGACACAGGATGTCTCCTACTCCTACTGTAAAGTCCATTCTTCCAAACTATTTGTGATGTCACAAATCATGCTTGTAAGCCCCGCCCCTTAAAATCAGATTTTCAGTGAGCACAGAGAAACTTTCCACTTTCAGTAGACGTGAAAACATCCTTCTTGTGACAAACTGCATTATTCTGTACAGTGAAGCTCCAACATCTAACTGTAGGAACAAGAATAAAAACATATTTGAACTATTTTACTTTAATATTTGATTTAATTTGATGTTATTATATCAAATGTTCCCATTTTTTCAGGGATGCTGTGGCTGTCGCTGGTTTCTGAGATGTTGTACATAGTGCTGCTGGTGGTGGGCTTCAGCCTCATGTGTTTAGAGCTGGGCCACTCCAGCAACGTCATTGATGGACTCAAGCTCAATGCCTTCGCTGCCGTCTTCACTGTGCTCTCAGGTAGTCCCATTTTCTTTGTTATTAACCCAAAGGATGTGAGTCTCTACTTGTCTATTGTCAAGTGTTTGTGATTCCAGTTTCCACAGCTTGATTAAAAACTCCCATCTTGTGGTGAGCCGGGCATGATAACAAAGCAAAGTACCTTTTGCTTTTAAAATTAATTTAGAAGATGAAGCGAGCAGTCAAGAAAAAAAGGCTCTCGCTGAAAGCTGCATCTCACAAGATTAGATTTTCTTTTTTTTGTTTCTGCAATGATACTAGATTTAAAATCTATGACAAAGGAGCTTCATAAATGAGTCACGTTGACAAGTCATCAGGTGAAGAAATGTTACTTTCTTTCAGTGATGATAAGTTGAAAGCAGGTTCCAATTAGGAGGATATTTTTTTACAAACATTTCAGAAGGAAGGAAGGATTTGTGTGTACATGAAATGGCTTTACTGTACTCGTGGAAACAAAACATACTGTTTTTGAAGAATTCTTTGTGCATATTTAGAACCGTATGTCATGCAGCCAGCTAACCAGTCGCATATATTGTTTCAGGTCTTCTTGGCATGGTGGCTCATGTGATGTACACGCAGGTCTTCCAGGTCACTGTCAGCCTCGGACCACCTGACTGGCGGCCCTACAACTGGGACTACGGCTGGTCTTTCTGGTATGGCTCCACCGTCACACAACAGAACTCAAAGTTCAAACTCATACTATTTCTGTTCACCAATATCATATGAAGCCCTGCTATGTAAATAAAGCTAGATCAGCTCACCCATTAGGACACCAGATGAGGGATTCCATTCTGCGTGTAGCAGCCCCAAATAGTTGCCTTGTATCTCTGCTCTCACCTCTCCCCAGCATCACTGTCTCTAATGAAAAAAGCCCAAAGCTCTCATGTTACAGCAGGATTAGGCTTTGGTGTCCAAAGCCCCAATACAGGCGTGATTGGAATTGCATAAGGGGATAATATTTCACTCCTTTACAATATGCTCAGTATGCTGAAAATTTGTTTTAGAGACTAAACAATTCTCGACCTTTTGTGGGCATTAACCAACCTGGGTGAAAAGTACATGAGACAGTGATTTGAAAGTCTCATCTCACATGACTTAAAGTGATTGACACTAATCTCAGCAAACAAAAATATTGGTGCTCGCCGACAACAGAGTCACCGTATGTGCCGAACAATGTGCTGAATTTCTCTTTGCTCTGTGTTCTATCAGCATGGCCTGGGCCTCCTTCACGTGCTGCATGGGTGCATCAGTCACCACACTCAACTCCTACACGAAGACCGTCATCGAGTTCAGGCACAAACGCAAGACCTTTGAGCAAAGCATCCGCGAGGAACACGCACAGGAGGCTTTCGGATATTTCCGGGAACGCTCCGTGCACTCCATCTCCAAATCTGTGGAGGTTTATTCCAGCCAGACACCAAAAAGCACCAGGAAAGCTCCCATACCTGCTGACTCTCTGGACCTGAGTGACATTACAGGATCTTTGGGGGAAGAACAGTGTTGAAGTAGGTGGCATTTCTCTCAGTGTGGCAACTTGACTGGCGGAAGCACTGTTGTTCATCTGTGGTCGGTGTTTAGTACGGGATGAACACCTAATTGGATTTCACATCATTAGCTCCGTCTGATACATTTAAACGCTGCCTTAATTGTGGGTGTGTTGTTGGCATCGGTAGTCATGGAGCTTTAACTCACATAGGAGCTAGCTTCAAACTGGAAAAATGGACTAATCTCATGGATAAAGGTGTTTTCTCTGTTTGTGTAACACAATGTAGATATAAAGGAAACTGTTAATTACGCCCATATAAATAGAGTGAGGGTCTCTCAGATGCTAACGGCCTTATTTCAGTCAATCAATGAATCAATGCAAAAGACAGGGTGTCAGTTTAACTGGTTTTCATTGATTGTGAAAAAAAAAGCCTCAAATACTTTCTGCAAATGATGTGCCTACATATAGAAATTGTAAATAAGTACGTAAGTGTGCAGTATTGTTGTACATAGATTGGTTGTGAAAAATTGTGTGTCATTTTTCTTTTGGATGTTCGCGATCTTTTATTGTCTCACAATGCCCAAAGGAGCATATGCAACACAGTGGTTTTGTTTTGTGAAACCAGTGTGAACCATGTCAGAAAAAACTGCAGAGAAACTTAAAACAGAGACCTTTGTAGCAGGAAAATGTATATGAACAATTGTAATGGTGTTATAGGTATGATCAACAGTGTATATAGTATCACACATTTCCAGTACAGTATGTCATTTTCATTTAATGTTTCTACTTTGATTAGATAATAAATACTCACTTCTGTGAAGATGTCTCTGTTCAGACGGTTTCAGACAGATATGTTGGATATTAGTCCCCCTCCACTCAAAATTGTGTTTTAGTTAGTACTGCTTAATGTCCACTAGGGGTGGTGGGGCATGTTGATACGCTAGGTTACTTCTTGTCATTATTCCTGACACAGCAGTTTAGCTTTTTGAGTAGCATGGATTTTCTTTGCCCTGTGTTTGCCTCTAAGGCTTCAAAGAGCCTATCCACTGATTGGTGGATGTTTGCCAGAGCGGAGGACTGCAGATAATACTCGACTATCAAACTTAATAAAAAGGTGAGTTATATTTTTGTTTATTGTAAATTTGAATCTAAAAATATGCTAAAATCATTTAAAGATATGGCAGAAAAGACAGTACTGTCTTTGTGCTCTTTGTAGTAAAGATGCATTGATGATGATCATTATGTATCATTAAGTATAAGGTATAAGTAAGTTAGTCATCGTTCAGACTATAAGGTACTTAATGACGAAAACCAAACCAAAATGTTGGCATTAGTGTATTAATATTACAACAATAAACATAACTTTTTTTACATATTAGTCTACAATTATTTTGGAAAGCCTGATAAATAGTTTAATACTAATGATTGTTTTTGTGTTATATAGTAAATGCAGCATTCATCTGCGTTTAGATATTTTCAGGGCTTTTGTTTTGTTTGTTTGTTTTTTTTGGTTCTCTGACTTGATGCACATCTTTGGTTATTTCACAGAGTTTGACACCCATACGTTGAAGGGAGAGCATTTCTCTGTGCTTTTAATTTTGAGTTGATGGCGGTTGCACAACTAGTGGAAGCCACTCAAGGTCCAGTATGTATCTGTCTGGATTGGGATTTTTCAGTCGGGGAAAGGACTAGATGTAATTTTAATCATTTTTAACAAGGTGATTACATTGTTTTGTGGAAAAAAACATATCAGACGCAAGTTATTTTTCAAAGCAGAGTATTTTTATAAGTCTTAAACATGTCTGAAGAACCACTATCCAAGAATGACACTCGAGAAGGCTTTGATAAAACTCAATGCCTAATGTGTGTCATTGTATACATAATCCCTACAGAGGGCAGTGTTGTCTTAACAGAAATACTGGAGACTATATTTTGTGTTGTTTATTTTGGCATTAATAGTTTGGTTTCAGAAGCCATTAGTTACAAGGTAATGAAATGCATAAATTCATTTATTTTGTTATTTATTTTTCTTTTATTTCCATCTGGAGTTCATCTACATTTCACAGAGAATATATATAGAGTACAACTGGTGTTTATGATGCAAATTAAATTATAAATGGCACAAGATCAGGCCTACTTATACTATCATATACTTATTTATCATAGAAACATAAATATATTCCTTAAAAAGGTGCATGAAGAGGTGGACCTGCACTCTCTCCTGCAGTACCTATTTCAGTACTCTGTTCTTTTGCATGTACAGCAGGACTGAATGTATTACAATTTAGAAAAAAAGCACCCCCCGGTTCTGGACTTGTACCTGATACTAATCCATCTATGGGTGGCAACACAAATCATAAAATGACAAGTGTGATTTTGGTCATCTTAAAGAAATCCATTCTATTATTCTTTTCCGTTCCTCGCTCCGTGGTAAGATGAAGTCAGACCCCTTTGTTCAGTAACCGTCATCATACTCATTCTGGGCCTGCTGCCGGGCCAACATGGCCTGTATGAGAGCGCTGGAGCCTGCGGGTTCTGAGTTTTGTGGTGGGACCCGTTGAATCTTGTCCTCTTCGTCAGCTCTCTGCCTGGCTTGCATGACTTGCATCATAACACTAGACACAGAAGATGGCAGGTCATCTGTATCATCTGCTCCGTCCCCCTCTGCTCTTTGTCTGGCTTGCATGGACTGTGCGAGTGCGCTGGAGGATGACGGGCGTTTAACAGGCATCTGGTAAAAATCTTCATCCTGGTTATCAGCTCTCTGACGGGCCAACATGGCTTGAACCAGAGCGCTGGAGGTGGATATGTCAGACGGAACGGGCACTCCACCTGCTCTGCCTCTCTCCTCCTCCTCTTCGAGCCGCTGGCGAGCGAGTAAGGCCTGAACCATGGCGTTTGAGTTGGACTGACCGCCCGTGGAGTGGTCATCTAAACGCCGGTTTGTGTGCTGAAGGAGAGGAGAAAATATGCAGGGAGGTTGATAGACAAATCTCAGGGTGAAAAGGTGATTAGTTAAGATAGAATCCACACAGCAAACCTTTTTTTGATTCTTCTGTTTGTATTTTGTGTTAGATTTCTGGAGGTTCTGGAGCTTTTCTAACAAGAAGGACTTGTCTTTCCCCTCCTGGTGAGAAGAAGAGAGAGAGAGAGAGAGAGAAGGAAAAGAATAATAGCCATGACTGAAAAATGAATTTCAAATGCATTAAAGGTATAAACAGGCATACTAAATGGGTAGCAAATAAAGGAAAAAACAGACAAAAGCTCATTTTTAAGGATGTAAAACACTCACGTTAACAATCTGTTGTCTCAGTTGACCAATTAGCTGCTTGCGGCCCTGAGTGACTTGCCAGAAGATGTATATAATGACTCTGAGAAGGGAAACATGACACAATATCATAGACAGCGTTTGCATAATGACACAAACATGCTTAAATGCATACAGGCACAACCGCAGCCTGTACCCTCACATTGTTTCAGTATGTATCAGTTTATGTTTTAATAGTCCAATAAATAAACAACACTGTTTGTCTTTATATAACTGAACTGAGCACCATGGTTTCCCTGCCTGGCTGTGCTTAATGCCCAAACAAACCTTAAGATCAGTGATCTGAGAGGTGACTGCTTTGGACATGAGGTTATCAGAGTGCAAATACAACACACCTAATTCCCATTTGACATCAGTGTCGGTTAAATATTTTCTTAGTAAGGTATCATAAAACAAACAAAAATCTACACTCATATTTCTTTCCTCCAAAAAATTTTCTCAATTATTATTTCTTTTTTTTTTTCTATTTTATACTACCTTCATATATTTAAAAAAAATAAGTGATATCTAATTTCCAGGTTCTCAACATCCACAGAGGTTCCAACATCCTAATGACTTTGGTGATCCCCGACTTCCCCCTCTACTACCATGAGGTCAAATTTTCAGTTTTCAAACATCTTGGTTTAAAACCTACAAACTACTGACGTTAACATTAGCCTCAGTGGTACTTTTTTTTAGTGCTAATTAGCACAGCTCCAAGTTACTAAATTAGCCTTGAGGTGAGATTGCTTTGTCATAATTGTAACTTCTGAACAGCATATAATAAGACAGTACATTGTACTTGTTCTTTCTTGTGTTTAATCTGCAGGCTCAGAATGAGTTTGTGTTTGTGTAAACAGCTGTATTTTGTCTCAGAACAATACATATAGTCAATGAAGACGTGTGTGTGTAAACACACAACATAGCACTTGCACTATGCACTTACATGATGATGAGTGTGATGAGAAAGTAGAAGATTTCACTTCTGATGACATTTTGGTAGATCCATACAACCCACTGAGAGGCAGGGATCTCCTGCAGGTCATCTATCCAGACTCCCACCACACTGAAGGTATTGTTGAGTCCCCGAAAAGGACCACACTGCTCTGAAGGAGTCAGCCTAAAGACCAGGACAAGATAGACAAAACAAGACAGAGGTTTGGTTTGGGGGAATTTGTGTACTTGGTAAAGAATGCAGCATGTGACTGCTGGGGTTCTTTTATAATTTTGTTCTGAAGGTAATGATCTTCTTTGACTCCAGGCTGCTAGTGTGACATAAAAGTTTATAATGGTCGAAGCAGGTCATGTCCTCGTACCTCCAGGCAGTGTATGCAACAATGGACAGGGCTCCCACAAAGAAAGGGAAGAACAGGAGGGCGATGAAGATGGTTTGCATCTGAGCTGCTCTGCCTGTCCGCCGTGGGGGCTGGCAGTTCTGGGTCAGGCTGACCTGGGGAAGTAGTAATAAAACACACACACATAAACATGAGAAGACATATAACACAAACACAATTTTCACTCATTATTCTTGCAATACCTTATTAATAAAGTTTACAAAAGCATGAGCTAATTTCAGCCTGAACATCATATCTATTTCACTGCACAATAGGAAAGATGGAGATCTCGTCAGAGCTCTGAATAGCATTGCTTCAGAGGTCATTCAGCATGTTCATGAAACATTCAACAACACCAGATCCAGCCTGGGTCAAATTTCCAATCATACTGAATTCATTTACTGTTGGATTGATTGGTTCAATGCAACCAAAAGATGTACGCCATAAATCACACACCCTGCCTGTATTTTCCATAACACAGAATAAAGCATGCTATCAATGTGATGGAAAGATTTTAATTAATTATTGAACCAGGTGCACAAATAGAGTAATGTGAGCCTATAACAGAGCAGCTTGGGCAGCGATATTTTACCTTCTTTAAGTAAAACAAGATGAAAAATTTGAGGATCTGAATGGCAGGCAGCAAAGGAGAGAAGTATATTCCAATCCTGTGGAGAGAAAACAGAGAATATATTAGCACTGAGACCAGGAGAGAAAACACAGGTCCTGATTTTAATAACATTGAGGTTTTCAGTGGATGTATTGTTCCTACCAGGCCAGCGTCTGTGCGTAGATCAGTTCAAGAACATTTCTAGCTACGTCAAACTCTGGGACCCCCAGACGTGGTAACAATCTCGTCCCAATAACACTGTTACAAAGAAACAATTAATATGTTTTACATCTTAGGTTCACTTCCCCAATTTCTATGACTCCGAAGAACACAAACAAACTTTAAATGTGTACTGTAACTTACTTGCTAAGAAACTCTCCAAAGAAGGATCCCAACATTAGAAAAAGGAAATCAACAATGACCAGACGGTACAAAGCCTGTCCCACCATGGACTCCCAACACTGTGGAAAACACATTAAGTTGATGAATGAGTCTCTATATCAATGTCTACAGATGACACTAATGTTGGTGTGTTTAAAGATGACAATTGAGGATTAATGCTTGTCAAACATACCGAAAACTTCTCAGCCACCACATTCATCCAGTAGTAACACAAGACAGCCAGAATGGACATCTTGAGTAACACATTTCTGTAAGTGTGAAAAGAGAAGCGTTATATTTTTTATTATGTTATTAAGCATTATTGATGCTTGAAGGAATAGTGACATTTTGGGAAATATTATTTGCTTTCTTGCTGAGAATTAGATGAGAAGACTGAAACAACTCTCATGTCTGTGCGTTATCCATGGTATCTGAATATGATACATTTAAAAATGGATTCAAATATTGTTGCAAATGCAGTGGTTAAGTATAAAATAAGTTCAATTGTTTTATTCTGTAAATCTTACTTTAACAGCTGCAAGAAATAGCCTAACAGGCTTCATACAGTGTATTAGTGATGCTCTCTGAGTTCATCCAAATGTACACATAAATCATCCACCGCCACCCACTTGAACTAATTATTTTCTCTGGTTTGGAGACCTGTACCCACATGGACATTTCACTCCACCCCTACTAGTCCCTGTAGGATATATTGCCTTTTGAATGATTCAAGGTGATTTCTATGTGGGGGTGAAAGGAATATGACACCATTAACAGGTAACCAATGGAAATTCACGTTTCCTTGAATAAAATGACAAATTTCTCTGGGTTTAAAACATTTGGGATAATGTAAATACACAAGTCTCACAAATGAGATTTAACATATTAATTAGTGAGCTTTAGAGGAGCTGGTAGGTGATTTAGCTTTGGACATAGCCAAGCTATCTGTTTCCTTGTTTCTAGGCCATAGAAATGAGACTTCCTGCTGTCTAACCTGACTACCAGAGCGTAGATCTGTCTGCCCAGGCTGGAGTAGTGCTCAAACTTGTTGAAGAGGGAGTAGAAGAGCGGCACAACCAGGTTCATCAGAGACACCACAAAGGGGACCAGGAGAGTCTCTGCCTCCTGAAGCAGAGACCAGTTGGCAGCATCTGTTGTTTGCTATAAAGATAACAGATGGAGGTCAGATCAAGATAGTGCTAGATGATGAATACTACATGCAATGAAATGAATCAAACCCTGCGCTTTCCGGTAAATGACTCAACACATTCCTGTCAGAAAGCTGGAGGCTTATGACACATGCTGATAAGGAATTTCACCATGCCATAAAGTATTATCATATGCAGTTTCTATACACAGGAATACAAAGGGAACTGTGTGTCAACTGTGCAAGTCTGAGGACATTTTTCTGTTATTATTGATTTTAATGGAACAACAAGAATGACATTTTCCAGAAGGAGAAGAAACCTTTTTATTGTTCTCTGCCGTCTAAAGCCAACAAAAACAATTCCAATTTAACAATAAGACAAAGTATTCAATCTTGACTTGTGTACCTGCTGTTCATATTGGCAGAGATAATAGATGCTAGCTCCACAGCCAACAGCCAAACCGGTGGAGAGGAGCCAGGAACCCAGATGAACCCCAAAGTGCTTCAGCTTTTCAGAGAGGGTTAGCAGCTCCCTCTGGGCCCTCTCTGACAAAGACTCCTGAAGAGATGGCAAGAGGACAAACATGGCGATTAAAAATAATGAGACGTGTGATGGGACTTTAAACAGGATTTAAACTCTGAAAGCTAATTGTCTGGCATTTGTTGAAAGCTTATTGTGAAAATATAATTTGCAGCTAGAGTGGATTTCCAAAATGCAACTACAAAGCTTAGAGTAGAAAATTGAAAAATGTGAATTATTAGATATGTGCTATATTAAACATGTCATTGAGAGTTTCTTATTTTAGATATATTTAATGATGTGTAGGTGAAGTGATCCTGTAATAAAAAAGCTCTCTCTCCTGACTTGGTCTTGACTGATAAAAGTGGGTTTGTAACACAAGTTTTATTCACCTTGAGTTGGACACGTAGGTTGTTCTTGCGCTGTCTCACTGCTCTCTCATTGGTAATACTAAAATCCCAGCTGCACAGAAGCTGCCATGCACTGTTTGAAACTGTGTCTGCTAGTACATAGTTTTCCTTGAAGGAGCTGGCCATGCTGTGTGAGTATAGAGACAGAATGCAAGAATAAGTAAGGTGCTTTTATTTGTATTCAAACTACTGTTAACTTTAAAAAAAACAATTAATTAAAATGAAACCTTAAAATTAGAGGGGTCATTTCAAGGAAATGTACAATAAACCCAAAGTACTGTAATTAGCTCTATTCCATTAGTCATTAAGACAAATGGACTGACCTGAAGATAAGTGCAATTCCACACAGCACCATGTAGACGGCAATGGTGAAGAAATAGGCCAACTGCATGTTGTAGTCCACCAGACCGATCAGGGTTTCATTGCTGTAGCCACCGTAGTACATGACAGTGTAGTTGAAGTAACCCTGGAGGAACCAAAAACACATTCACTACATTGCAAAATATTTAGTCATGCTGCCATAATCCACTTAGGTTAATTAAATGTCAAATAAGGTTGGTGACTGTGTGGAGTAATTTGCTGGGCATCTATATGTGAATTAATCCTTCATTAATTGATTTTTTTGCTCTTTTAGCTCTGTTTTGGTCTCCAACAACCCTTGAGGGATTTAATTGGCTCTGTAGCTGCTAAATGCTCTAGCATTTTCATGCATCTTGAAATGAGGCCAATGAGAGCAGTAAGAGTAAACCAAAACAGTTAATCTGCAGCCCTAAAACTAAAATAATACACAGTTAGCGACTAAAAGGCTAACTAAAACAGCTTTAAATTATGCAATGTATATCAGGGATCACATGGTATGGTGAAGGTATGTGGGGAGAGCCTCCACTTACAGCCCCAGTCAGTATCTCCAGTCCTCTGAAGCTCACATTCGGAGGTATGTTTGGTGAGGGGTCGTAAACAAGCAGTGGGATGGTGATGAAGCCAAAGTTGATCAGGAAGGAGAAAATGTTGAACATGAGCAGCCACTTGAGGAACAGGAAATAGGAAAGGACGCTGGTGCCAAACTTGCCTCCTATCTCTTTCATGATGCCTTGCCACAGCTCCAGGGTCTGCCTGGCTGACCTAATGCTGTAACCGCACCTGCGTAAGGACTGAGAATGCAGCTTGTTACATGTATAGCAATACAAGCTTAGGTCATGAACAAGACGGCTATATATACAAATGATTTGTTTATGTATGGTGTTGCGGCATTTTGTCTTATAATTGATGAAACACTCACCAATGACACATTCTCAGAGCAGTCTGCAAAACATGTGAACTGGCGAGATTGCTTAGCAGACTTGAATGCCAGTACTTGGCTCCTGTGGGGGTAATTAAGAACATAATTTGGTATTTCCAATAGGTTTTGCAACAATGACGCTGCACTCTGCAGAAAAACCTTTGACCTTTCATTTTAATACTTTCTTGTGTAATGTACCTTGAAAGAAGGGTTCAGTGTTAATTATGTGTGTGTGTGTGTTTACTCACATATATAACTTTTCCTCCAGTGACGTATATCGCAACTCAAGACTACCATTTTGTTTTTGCATACAGAATGCTTGTTTTATGGTCCTCAGCAGGGTGTAATGGTTAACTCAGTACCTCAGAATGACGCGGACAAGGAAGCTTATCAACTTTAACTGCTTGTCAGTCAAAACCCACCTGATGTGTTTCTTCTCTTCAAAACTCATTGCAAGGTCTCGAATGGCCCGAATTCGGTCTCGTGTTGACAGGGCAACAAATTCCTTGACCAGGTTCTGTTCCTCTGTCACATAAAAATGACAAGACAAGCCGATCCGGCATCACACTTTACATTGCACACATCCACAGAAATAATCTGACACCCGTCACAGAATCTTACCGTCCTCCATCTCGTCCCTGATGGCGTTCTCTGTGAAAGCTAGATGGGCAGGATCTGTGTTAGGAAACATGCTCATCCTCCTCATTGCAATTCCCCTCCATCTCATTGTCATGTTACCTGGATAAACAAACAAGGAGAAAAGAATGTGTTTTTGCATACAGGGTGGCATTTTTAAATGTAGCACCTGCAGCTGCTCACACATTTAAACATTTACCCTCCCATCACAGATATCAGCTTTCTTCTCTTTATAATTTCCTGGTTAACTGATTGCACAGAAACTTTGAGATGTGTGTTTTACCTACCGTAAATGTACTGATTGAAAGCACAGCTGATAGCAGTGCAATATAAAGTAAAAGCTAATGCGGGTGCTATTATAGCACTGACTTTACATTATCTTAACTCCTGATTATCCCTATGATACTGTAGCTGTTGGAACCTCAGCCTTTCACACCGTCAGGGATTACTGACTACCAACTGTGATACAACAGTGACTACTGATATTCAAATGGAGTATGGTAATGCCTTACAACATAGCCTGCAAATTACTGTTAATTAATTAATAATACAATTAAGTTGTATTACAGCATGCTAACAGGCTAGCAGGTCTGTGAGTCTGTACCTTATATATAGGCCTACTGTCAATGGGATGTACTTAGACACAGCATTGCTTTGAGCTCAATGTCAGCATTACAATGCTAACATGCTTATGTTTACCATGTTTATCACCTTAGTTAAGCTTGTTAGTATGGCAATGTCTTACAGTTTGGTTTTACAGGCATTTGGTCAGAAACCAAAGTATTGGACAAATTAAAATTGTGATCTGTTTGATCTGTGATCTGTCAAATTTCAGCTTTATGGAGGTGTTAGAGGAAAGGTCAGGGGTTCACCAACAGGATTCATCCTCTGGGGACCATAGTTTAATATATTTCAGTCTGGAATAAAGCGGTAGGACAACTGACGGACTGACTTTCATGGCTTGTATAGCTACAAAAGATCCATGTTCAAAACACGTAGAACATGTTTTTCATGATGAAAACACAAGCTAAAAGCTGGTCAGTAATTATACAAGGATTTAGTTACAGTACATCACGTCAGCCACAGCGCAGTTTTAAATGCCTGAGAACAATAAATGTCCACTCAGATTGCTTTTCCCCTTTTACAGACACATGTACACAACCTTTAGATTGTTACTTCAGATTCAGATAGCATTTTCCAAACAATCCTCCTGTTTTCTTTTCTTTGCCTACTTCCTTGTCTTCCCTCTCTTTTGCTGTTGCGTGGAGCCTCCATTAATAATTACCCAGCTGGATTTTGCTACGTTGATTGATAATAAAAGTCAACAGGCCAACATGAATGACTCATTAATTTACATGTTTTGTCCTGTAATGCACTAACAACACTGTGTGTGTATTTAGCAAGAACAAAGCAACAGTGTGAGCACTTTACCTGTAAAGACTTCGACTGTGGAAATAAAGCATTATCTACAGTATTTAGTAAGATCAGTTTCACCATTACCTGACATTGTAGAAGGAAGAACAGAAGGCGGTCGATCAAACTGAGAGGCAGGGGGGATTTGGAACGTACTATGATCTGAATAAAAAGTTAGGAGATAAAGTATCAACAGAACGGTCACTTAGCAACACATAGAGACACTTAGAAATGCTGCATAGCCAACAAGTAGTCAACACTAAGTAATGTTGCTTTTATATGATACAATGCAGCATAGACATCAAAATGTACACAGACTTGTTCTAAACTGAGCTCAGTCACTCAGTGCAGGCCCACTCACTGACGTCATGCTGCCATGAAGGACTCCCGGGGCGCGTTGAGATGAGGCCCATGGGGATACTCTCTCTCCCCCTCCAGCTCTCCTCCTGCCAGCCCCCCCATGGTACTCTCCCGGCATCATCGCTCCTGGTCTGACCTGTCGACGAGTAATATGCGTCCTCCCTGGCATAGGGGTTAGTGTGGTTGGTTTTGCTGGAAGACCTAGACAGACACAGAACAAATAAAGATCAAGCACTGTGGTTGTCAGTTCATGAAAGAAACTGGTATTTCAAGTCATGGTTACGGTGTTGTCATTGTCTGCAATTAAACAAGTATCATAGATATGATTGCTATGGAAGTGATGTTTTTCTCCTGTGGGTAATTTTGAGGATATGATATCCTACAAGCAAGTATAGGATTAAACTTCAGACATCAATGAACTAACATATTTGCCTGCAATGTTTTTTTAAGAAACTTTAGACCTCAAAGTCCTTACCCAAAATAAGAAAAATGCATTGAATCACTCTTACAGCCCAAGATATAGCCAGGATAAATACCATTTCCACACAGCTGCCTGTTCCTTGAGGACATCCTGTTCATTCTTTTACAGTACAGTATGCCCTTAGATTACACACAGCGCTCACTCAAACACATTCCTTCATCAATTAAAATAAGGGAAGCGTTTCTTTTCTTTTAGGATAAATGATGATGCACATTTGAAGACAGAACCACATTTTATGTTATTATATTACCACAAACCTTCTATCAATTTCCAGAGTCTCGCTGTCATGATAGGCAGGGTTGAAGAATCCTCCGTTGCTGTAACTTGTCATGAGATCCTTCAAATTGATCCTTTTGCTCTTCTTTGAAAACAACAATCCTTCAGCTCAGCAGTCGCTCTTCAGTATGTAGATGTTTGTATATAGTTCCAGTTGTAAACTGGGAAAAAAACCTCGCTAAAACACAGATGTCTGTAATAATGAGATCACAAGAAAGATTTCATCACGTTATATTCAGACTTCAGTTGCCAGCTATAAGACAACTTTAATACAGTAGTTGCATCACATGTTGAGGCCAAGTGCCTTTCTGTGCTCAGAGTGACATTGTCGGGGGATGCATGTGTAATTTAATCTCTTGGCCCCATCCTCATCTGTCCATCATTAATTCATACTGTAGGTTTTGTTTCCATCACATGTAGTAGCCTAGATCTACGGGTGTCACACAGAACCAGGATAGCAGAGTAGGAAAATCTGAACAACAGTTCACAGAAATCTACAGTCAAATCAACAATGCAAGTTAGAAAGAACAACTAGTGGGACTACAAACAGATTTACTATCACATAATGAAAAATGCTCATAAACTATATTCTGTTATCTTTACAAATGCTGCTTACCTGGTGAATGTGTTGTGATCATGAGAGAATACACAAACGTAAGTCCTGACAAAATGCAGTAGAGCTGCAGAAGAGGAGTAACCTGAGAATCAGCCTGAGAACCAGCGTCAATGAGAAAGAAATACGGACTGTCTGGCTACCAGGAAGTGTGTGTGGAACTAACTCATAAAGGTAAAAGTCCACTGCTTCTGAAGAGGCCATGTAAATCCCATATGAACACTTTATATGGTGACTAAAATAATTAAATCCCTAAGGCTAAAAATTAATTGGGTGTCCAAGAGTTCATGTTGTATCTGCTGACCTGTGGAGCTTACTGATAGAGGTTGTCTACAGATAGATATAATAAGTGATGAATGAATACATTAGTGAATAAATAGATAAGGTAGGTAAATAATCTGCAACCTACCAACAGCTAAAAAGTAGGTGCTCTTGCAAACTGGATATAATTAACTATATAATATAACTCACCAAGTAAAGGTAAAATCCCATGGCCAGGACATATATCAAGGACCAGGGCAGCCATACAGCACTTTATATCACACTTTCAGCATGGATTTTCTTTGCTTTGCACAACTGGTAAAGGTCAGAGACTACACACAAACACACACACACACACACAAAAAAAAAAACAAAAAAAAAAACAATGTAAATTTAATGGGTTGTACACTGAGATGTTTTCTTATTATTATTTCTTCTCCCCTCTTTTTTTGTTTTTACCTTAAACACGGCCTCTAACTTAGGGAAGTTTAGGTTACTTGTCATGATGATAAGCCTGTAAACACTTACACAATGTCTTCTTTGGCCTGGAGGGATAATAACTTTGATGAAGATTATCTCAGAGACTTGAAATTTATAACAGACAACATTGCTACAAACATGGAGTGCATGGAGCTTGACCCATTTAGCAACCAAAGCTCAGTGTCTGCTGCTTATATTCAGATGATTCATCGTTTTAATGTGTCTATTCATTTATTAGTTTATTAACTATTTTTTTCTCTCTTAAACAATCTAACACATATTGTTAAGTTGATAAAAAATCAACATAATTTAAATATATATTTTAAAACCAGTAAAATATGACAGAATGTAATAGGTAAAGGTACAGTAAAATGACAAATAGAAAATGAAAAGAATTAAAATATATATTTTAAAACCAGTACAATAAGAATAAGAAATAGGAAAAGGTACAATAAAATCACATAAATAAATACAAAAAAAAAGATTTTAATAAATATCAACATAATTTAAATATATATTTTAAAACCAGTAAAATGTGAGGGAATGAAATAGGAAAAGGTTAAATAGAAATGACTGAAATAATTCAAATATATATTTTAAAACTATTGACAGTATATGTTAAAAACCAGTAAAATATGAATAAGTAATAGGAAAAGGAACAATAAAATGACATGAATTAGTACAAATTTAAATACATTATTTTAAAACAGTAGCTTACAATAAGACAGAATGAAATAGAAAAAGCCATAAAAATGACAAATAAAAAAAACTTTTAAAACTAGCAAAGTAAGAATAAGAAAAAGGTGCAAGGAAGAATAAAATGAAATGAATGAATAGAAATCTAAATACAGTGAAATGAGACAGTAACATGGACAGCGAGCTGAGGGCTGCGGTCGGTCTCGTATCCACATTCAGGAAGTTGTCTCTGGAAAAAACTGAGTTGTCTTCCTGACGGCGGAGTGTCAACTCCCTGTTGACGAAGTCTGCTAGGTTAATTGTTAGCTAATAGTAATACCACTCAGTACGTTGAGGTTTTTATTGTATCGGAAAGGGGAACGATGGAGGTCGACTCAGGTAAACTTGTGTCTGCAGCTATCCTCGCTCATAAACCAGGTTCATTAAACCTTCAGCACTAGCTAAGCAGCTAGTAATGCTAGCCTCAAACTTTGTATCAAGTAGCCGCTAACAACAGGCTAACAACTTCAACCTGCTGGTTAATGATTTCTAAGGAAAGGATATTTGGAAGAGTACAAGTTACCACGTTTAGGAGTTGTATAGTTTTGGCTCTTTGCTGTGTCGGAACTTTGCTGTGTGCGTTTCTCTTTGCTGAGTTTGCTCCTTCGTTAGCCATTGTCTGATGCTGGATAAGTACTGTACAACAGGGGAGACAATGGTAGTGTCAGTCAGTGTCTGTTGCTCGTATTAGAAACACTTTTTTATTTTTATTTACAGGAAGTAGCACCTTGCATTACTGATGTTATAGTTCTGCAACAGGCACATGTATATCATATTGGCACATAATAATAATAATAATAATAATAATAATAATAATAGTCACATGTACACATCTTTATTAATAAAGTATCCTTCGAAGACATGATGACCTATTGATATATGAATTGTGAATATCCTTATTTTGACCTCAGTGTATTAAGCATACTATCAATATTGGATTTGAATTGCCATCAAATTTGTTTTGCAGTGGTGTTTTTTTGTTTTGTTTAATTCTCTGTCCCAGAACAATATCCGTAACTACATTAAGTAGTTAATTCAGTCCACTGGTCAAAAGTTATTACATTTCCATCTCTGTCACTTTTAACCATGTTTTAACTGGAGTGCTTTGGTAGCTGAATGGTTGCAGCATGTGACACATAATCGCAACATTGCTGGCAACCTTTCTTCTGTCTTTCTCTTATTGTCATACTGTTGAAAATGCCCCCCCAAAAAAAATTATATAAGGGATAAAAAGCTGCAATTCTATTAAACTGTAGTAGCCTTTGGTACTACATAATCAAACATAATAACTCTGTAAGATCTAATCATATTTATTAACCCCTCTTCAAGTCTTCTACACTGATCGCAGTGGAAGAGTCACCAGTAACCCACTGTTGGACCAGCTGCCCAGCTACCAGTCCCTGCTGTACCGCAGGAAGTCGTCGACTTGTACCACCAAACGAAGAAGCAGCTCCAGAGGGCGACTTGGCTCCTCCGGGAGTGGGAAATGGCGCGTGAACACCATCAGTAGACCGGAGGAGAAACTGAAGATTCAGACGGAGCAGAGATCCATCAGGGAATTAACCAAGACCATGGCCGAGAAACGCAGAGACAAGTAGGAACAACATTATTATAGTATCTTTACTGCCTTATTTCCCATTGTAGGCTATGATTAAAAGGCATGATGTATCTGACTGTTACTTGTTAGGACCCAGCGCAAAGAGGAGGCTCGAGACCTCAGCAGTTGGAGCCAGTTGAGGCAAAGAGCCCGCAGGTATCTGAGGAGGCTGAAGGATGATGGCCAACAATGGCTGGGCTCCCTGAAGCTCTGGAGGGGAGACATCCACCTGATAGAGGGTGAGCCTCAGAAGCATTCATTGCTTTCTATTCAGGATGGCCGACATGAGTATATGTACCTTTGCTGTAACAGAAAGTGTTTAAGAAAGTGAATTTCTTTCTCTCTTCTCATTTATGTTCAATAGGGATGTTCGGCACAGGGATCCTGTCTTACTTCTCCTTCCTGCGCTTCCTGGTCATGCTCAACTTTATCATCTTTTTGCTCATGTTCAGCTTCGTCATGTTACCCATCATCATTGCCCCCCATGCTTCAGGGAATATCACATATAACCAGAATGATGGTGAGAGGACGGTTTGTTTGTTTCAAGCTAGAGTGTAAATTAAGCATAAAATGGTCTTAAGCATATACTGTCCTATGTTTCACTACAGGGAGTGTGTGCAGTGTGTATCCAAGCAGTGCCCGTCGAGGTCTGGTCATCTTTCATGAACACATTACTGACCTGCTGTCTGGTGGAGTAAGTCCTTGTTAGATATTATTTAATGGTCTCTGGAGAGGAAAAAATAATGCGTTTGGTTTCCTAATTCCCCTTTTGTGATCTGCAGGGCTTTCTGGAACAGACCTATCTTTTCTATGGCTACTACAAGGTGGACAAAATATACTTTCCAAAAAACACTTACAATTTGCCACTGGCCTACTTGTTGGTCACTATAGCCTACCTGCTCCTCAGTCTCATCTGGATTGTTAAAAGGTACAGAAAATTGCAAACTCGTGAAGAATGAAATTTATTGGACAGATCAGTTTCTGATGAACTTCTCTTCAAGGTCTGCCACAGGATTCAAACGTAACCTGGTAAAGGATGAGGACCGCTTTCAGAGCTTCTGCAACAAGATCTTCGCCGGTTGGGACTTCTGCATCACCAACGAGAACACCTCGAAGCTGAAGAGAAGCAGTTTACTCTATGAGCTCAGGGTTAGTTGATTGATGCTTTATAGGGCAGAATTTAGCCGCAGCTATAAGATAGGGGCAGACTGAAACTTGACTGGTTGGTGGAGGCATACAACCGTGGGGCTCTACTCAGTCAAGTGGACTGATGTAGTTGAAAGTTTACCTGCGTGAAACTAAAATGACATGTTCTCATATCCCCAGACGGATTTGGAGGAGGAGAGGATCAAACAGAAAATAGCGGATCGCACCCGCAAAGAGAAGTGTCGGATTTACCTCCTCCGCCTCATCCTCAACCTGTTTGTCATCGGTGTTCTGGCTGGTTGCTTCTACAGCATTTATGTAGCCACCATCTTCTCCCAGGAAGCCCAGATGAATAATGTAAAGGTATTGAAATGATGCCGAAGTCCCTTGATGGTCTTTTATTATTTTACACGGCTAGAAACTCATTCCAACTTGAAACCTGTCCAACAGATGTCAGTAGGCATCAGAGTTAAAAAACGGTAAGCTTTGTGACACTGTTTCCTTGGTTGCAGGAGAACTTCATTGTGGATCTCATCTATGAGTATCTGCCCTCAATTGTTATCACCATGGCCAACTTCATCACCCCCCTCCTCTTCTCTGTCATCATCAATTATGAAGATTACTCGCCTGCATTCGAGATACGCTTCACTCTTATGAGGTACAGTCCACTCACTGACCACTTATTTTTCCTTTCTCTTAATGGTGATGTTAACTTTAAAAAGTAATTGCATTAGGAGACGGACACTATTATGGGAACTTGAATATTTACTAAAAGTTAATATGACACAAATGTATAAAACAAATAGCTGTAATACCAGTGACATTAAATGGCTGAATTACTGTCTTTTAAAACATGTACTCTGTTACTTTCTTTCCTTCTTTTTCTCTCTTTTTCCTTCCTCCTCCCTTTCTTTGCAGGTGTGTCTTCATGCGGTTGACCAGTATTGGGGTTTTGCTCTTCTCTCTCTGGTCTCAGATCACCACATGTAATGAAGGGGAGACCTGCATCTGTGGCTATAACCATTTGCTTTACTCTGTAAGTCATTTTCCTGTATTCCACTATGATATAAGTTAATTTCCTACGATAATACACAGGTGCCAACATCACCAATTTTCTCTGTCAACATGCACACCTGTAGCTCAATGCTTAATGATGTCCTAAGACTGAATCTTAAGGCATTTCATTTGAGAATGTTTTATGTAAATCTCTTTAAATGTAGTGTAGTGACTTATATTCTGAGTATGTTCTACGTCTTTGTTGTTGTCCACAGTGTTGGGAAACCCGTGTGGGCCAGGAGATGTACAAACTCACCGTCTTTGACTTCATCATCATTGTTGCGGTCACCATCTTTGTGGAGTTTCCTAGAAAGTAAGTCTTCATCTTACCAAAAATCATCTCATTACAGTCTTAAAAACTTCTGTTAGTGTAGTTTTGTCGACAAAATGGGATCATCTTGATGCATTTCAGGAGGCATAGCCTTAAAAAAGTGTTCTGTCTTGTGTATTTTTAATTGTCATCCCAATCCATATAATACTTTGAGGTGGAATACCTTGAGGTGGAAATGTTACTCATCATTTGTTCTTCAGTCATTTGTAACAGTGTCTCTGTGTTTCCCTGTACTCCTCAGGCTGATAGTGAAACACTGTGACTGGGGCCTGGCCAAGTGGTGGGGTCAGCAGGAGTTTGCTATTCCTCAGAATGTGCTAGAGATCGTCTATGGTCAGACCATCTGCTGGATCGGCACGTTCTACTGCCCGATGCTGCCTGCCATCTGCACTATCAAATACTTCTTTATCTTCTATATCAAAAAGGTGATTTTTGAACATATTCACTTACACATTTTGTTTTTA